ATCGATTCCAGCAGAGGTCGTCAAATTTGGATGAAAGCAGATTTTTTATCCTAAAAAAATCAGCAATATTTTCGTCAATTCTCTCCAAATTCACACGTTGACTACTGACACCAGCATTCCGACAACATTTATACTACCTAAATTACGTGAATGGCTCCGTTCTCTTCTTCCAAACACTTTCTAATTGTATAACATACGTCTATATACGTTTCTGTTTTTTTTTAATCCTTCATTCCCACCCACACTCAGATCTAGTGTTGGGCTGGCAATCTATGCTAAACATATTTGATAGATGCCCGCCGCTTACATATACCTTTAAAAAGAAATAAAAATATTTATGAAAAAAAGTAAGCAGATCATCATTGTGTAATTCCTAATGTGTCATCCATGTTTATGTAATAAGTATATATATTTTTTCAGATACAAGAATGATGTACTGTAGATAGTACTTAAGTTTGATAAATGTAGAAATGTATATAAATATAGGTAAGTGTATAATATATAGAATTTTTATATAAATAATATCACAGTATAACACATACAAATATTAAATATAATATCACAGTATAAGAGGGGGAAGGGTCGGTGTTTAGCCCACTCGAAAGACTACTCTGTCAGGGGTAGGCCCAGCACCGAATTATAGGAGGGGATGTTATAAAGATATCACAGTATAAGGTAAGTATAAATTTAATCACAGATAATAAAAGTAAACACATCACAGTGATAAGGTTGTCACAGTATATATAAAGTTGAAATTCAAATGATAAAGGTAAGTATATCACAGGTAAAGGTAAGTATTTACAACTAAAAGATGTTGTATATGAATTTCTCAGTGGCTATATTTGTACGTGTTATAATTGTCTTATAGAGAAAGATATATGTAAAATAAAAATATACTAGCGCCACTCGTGGCACAGAGTGGGACTTTGCAAATGTAGCAATTTGCTAAAGACCCCGAAAAAATCAACCATCGACGATAATTAGGTCAAGCGCAAGAACAGTTTAAAGTTGATAATTTTTTATTTTTTAGAAGATTCTAATACCGGAAGTAGTCGTCAGACTTCACAAATGAAAGTACCAGCAGATAGCCAAGGTCAATGACGTTTGATCCTACAAAGGTCAAGGTCAACAAAGGTCAAGGTCAAAAATTGAAAATTTTGAATTTCCAAAACTTGTTCCTTTTTTTGAATTATGAAGCGGAAACAACCAAAATTCTAAGACCACTGGTGATCAGAATCCATCTGTATGTACCGCAGGTGTAAATCAACATGCTGATGATCAGAATCAATCTGTATGTACCACTGGTGTAAATCAACATGCTGATGATCAGAATCAATCTGTATGTACCGCTGGTGTAAATCAACATGCTGATGATCAGAATCAATCTGTATGTACCACTGGTGTAAATCAACAAGCTGATGAATATCAGAATCAATCTGTATGTACCGCTGGTGTAAATCAACACGCTGATGAAGATCAGAATCAATCTGAATGTACCGCTGGTGTAAATCAACATGCTGATGAAGATTAGAATCAATCTGTATGTACCGCTGGTGTAAATCAACATCCTGATGAAGATTAGAATCAATCTGAATGTACCACTGGTGTAAATCAACATGCTGATGAAGATCAGAATCAATATGTATGTACCACTGGTGTAAATCAACATGCTGATGAAGATTAGAATCCATCTGTATGTACCACTGGTGTAAATCAACAAGCTGATGAGGATTAGAATCAATCTGTATGTACCACTGGTGTAAATCAACATGCTGATGAAGATTGGAATCAATCTGTATGTACCACTGGTGTAAATCAACATGCTGATGAAGATTGGAATCAATCTGTATGTACCACTGGTGTAAATCAACAAGCTGATGAAGATCATAATGTACGTTCTGCTAGTATTTTGGAAAGAGACAACCTTGGCTATTTACCAGCTGAAAGTAATGTGAAAGAGGCAGACCAACTTCCTGTCATCAACAATCCTGAAATTTTTATTAAAAAGTACCATAAAAAGGCAAATGATGAGTTTAAGCTGGGAAGGACATACGACAGGAGACATTCTTGCAAATTCTGTGGAAAACTTATGACAAATATTCAAAGCCATTTAGAACATGCACATAAAAACTCAGAAGAAATAAAGCAATTTTTTTATATTAAGAGAATATTGGAAACAGTAAGTCAGGAAGAAAATAGTCCCCTCTTATTCAAGCTCAACCAACTTCAGACATTACTTAGAAATCAGGGTAATCATAATCATAACACCAAGGTATGTCAGCAGAAAAAAGGTGAAATTATCCTCAGCAGACGTCGTGAAAGTGAAACATTTGATCTGGCGAAATATGGGCCCTGTCCAAGATGTATGGAATGGATTATATTTGATAATCTAACCAAACACAAAAGTAATTGTCCACTTAATAAATTCTCCGAAGCAGATGACTATACTCAGGGAACAAGTCATTCAGTCAAAAATCATGAAGGGTCAAATCTTGACTAAACCTTCTAAAAGGTTGCTGAAAGAAGTATTCCCATCCATGATGAGAGACAAAGTAACAGATGTCGCTCAAACTGATCAACTAATTGTGTCATTGGGTGAAGTATGGTTGATGAAGAATATTGGAAATAGACTTAGAAGGAAACACTTTACAAGATTCAGAATGAGGCTAGCAGCTAGGCTTCTTATGATATTGAGAAATGAGTCTGGCAATATAATGGCTTCGATGAATGATTTTTTGGTTCCCACCCACTTTAATCTTGTAGTGGAATGCTGCTTGAAAGCTTGTCAAGAAACGGAAGACTTAGAGCTTGAAAATCCCAGCACAGCCCTTAAATTGGGGTATGACTTATCTCGCTTGGCATCAGCAAAGTTAGTATTTAGTATTAAACAAAAAGATGAAAACGGAAAAACAGAATCCTCAGAATTTTTAAAACTTATCCAAATGGAACCCACACCTCATATAAAACCTCATCAAATAGAATATCCCATTGATGGTATTATAATTAGGTCATTAGATGATATAAATCATTATTTTTCAAACCCTGACCCAGATTTACCAAAGAGCATTTCACCAATTGTTGATTGTGATGGGTTATCGTTTAATGGACATAGAATAAAATTTGAAAATTTTTACCTTTTATTCAAAATCGATAGAAAAGACTTTACATTTACAACAACAGAAGGATTAATAGATTTAATGAATGGGAGGGATCCTGGTATTGCCGATTATAAGGATTTAGTAGCATACTCAAGATTTCTAGAAGAAATTAAAAGGATAGGACGCGACACAAATAGATCGAAAGAAGTTAAACTATTTATAAAAGCAAT